GGGCTCTTAATAAGTACATTATATCAGGCCTGTTGCTTACAGGGTTCTGAGAAAGCTGCGGGCTGGTGCTCAGCTACCACTGGACCTGCTAGCACCCCGGCTGCAGGGGCGTGCAGCTAGAGGCCAGAGCAGCCATGCAGTGACTCTGCTGCCTGTAGGCCTGCTTGGCACAAGCTAGCCAGAAGCATGTCAGGAGGGAAGAAGCCAGTTCGCTGTGTAGTATCCATCACATGGGGCTTTGGGCACATCACATTTAGTCATACACCTATGGCTCATGGTAAGCTACGTCACTGATGCACATTGGCACAGCAGTGGGGCAGCAGCAGGAGGAGGGTCACTGCCAGCTTTCTGCCTGCTCCCAACATTCCTCCGCGTCAGCCCCTGGCGTAGCTGCCCTCGTGCGGAGAACACCGAGCTGCACTTAGCCCAGTGTTATTCCCCCAACCCCCTCCCCTCGGGACTGGCCAGTCTGCTCTGGTGCAGATTGCAGCCAACAGCATAGCTCCGTGCTACCTGCCCAGGTGTCTGTGCCAGCAGAGCCCAGCCTGGCCCAGCTGTCTCTGGTGGAAACCCCCTGTCAGTGGCTGCCCTGGTGTCACCCATACACCACTCCTCACCTTGCAGATGCTTTCCTGGGGCACTGCGAGGCCTCATCTGCCTCCTCTGACCTCTCTGTGGCCACAGACCTCTCCACACACTGCATGCACTCTCTCTGCTGAACAGCATGTCAGTACAGGCATAATCACTTCCATGTGGCCAGGTCCAGGCTTTAAAAGCACCTGGAGTTTGTAGCTTCTGCTGTTGCTACCACTGGTGCAACTGCCTGTGGAAGGAGTGATGGCTCCCAGCTTTCCCAGTGCTGTTCTGCCTTGCCTTGCCACATCCACATCCACATCCACAGCTGTGCTTCAGGCAGTAGAAACAGTGCAGGCTGCCTACAGCAAGTGAAGGGTGCACTCAGGTATTTCTCCAACCAGTCACAACTCCCTGTGAAACAGTGATGAGCCTGCCTGAAGGGAGCCTACATGCACCGTGGCTACCACTGGAGTAGTGCATGGGCCTGGGTCATGGAGCTGCCCTACAGCCTCCTTGGTTTCTCACCCACCCCCAAGCAAATACAGGCATACATAGATGGGCTGCCTCTTGCTCCACAGGTAGGGAAGTTCACCCTTGGACAAGTGGAAAGAAGTGCCCTGTGCTACAAACCTCTCAGCTTTGGTGCGTTTAAAAAGCAAAGCTCAAAGTGATAAGTTCTGGATGTTTTGTTACAATCCACATGACTGGCCGCTGTATTTCCCCTCATAAAATCTGAAGCAATATGTTCCCGGCTAAACTGGGCTTGACACGCATTGTTACCATGTTTACCTGGGACTTGAGGGCACACCTTAATCATTCCCAGCAGGCCAGATATTTCAGAGAGCAAGCCTTGCCATATCTGTGGCTCGGGGCTTCTTTACTGGGCAGTGAGGGAGCCTTGGCTTCTGCAGAGAATCGGGACCATGGACTGCAGTGGGAGCAGAACTGGGCACCTCAAAAGCGCCTGGCAAGAGCATGTGAAGAATCATAGAATCAGATTCAAGTAGGGCTGGAAGGGACCGAGGAGGCAATTCAGTTTAACCCCCTGCATAAGGCAGGATCGTCTCTGTCTGGTCACAAGCGTGTAGATGTGTAAACCAGTCTAGCCAGGTGTTTGTCTAACAAGCTACTCCTTAAAAAAGTCTGGGAACAACAAAATTCCAGACATCTCAGCGTGGAGGATGTCCTCCCTTTACTTCAGTATTGAGAAATCTTGCTCAGTTAAAACAAAAAAGACATTTTGCAGATTGGGGCCATCTCTTTACCTAGAACTGAGGTGATTTTTGAGTAAAATCCTTATTTGCCAACATCAGACCTTAATCAGAAAAGGTTTATTCACCCTTGCGGAAATTTAGACATAAAAATATAATTTTTATAACATTTTCAGAGGAAAATTTCAACTTTTGTTGAACAAAAAACATTTTAAAATAGGCACATAAAAAGAATGATGAATATTTTCCAGCTTTCAGCAGGTGAAAACTTTTGGCCAAATTGGAATAATTCTCAAAAACAAACAAAAACATTCAAGTTCTGCAAAAAAATGTTAATGTTTAATTTAACGGGTTTGAAGGTTTTGTTATGAAACTGTGATATTTTCTGAACAAAGCAGACACTTTCCTGATTTTCCATTGAAAATGTATTCTAGAAATAATGCCAGCTGGCTCTGCAGCTACCCAAATGGAAACCCCTTGGCCAGGCAAGATGAAACACTGGTCATCACATTTGCACCAGTGCCCTAATCTTCAGGGGTCATCAACATTTTGGAGCAGGGGACCACAGCAGTGCTGTGCTGTCATTGTGTGGGTGAGGTCCCCTGCCACTGAAACACTGCAGAAGCCCCCTGGCTCTACAGGCCAGATAAAATGGCTTCATTGGCTGGATCTGGCCTGTGGGCTGTAAGAAGTTGACCCTTGTTCAGTGCCATCACTGGAACCAGTGCAAAGTGAATGTTGTACTTTGGTAGTGTTTCCTCTGCCTAGATGTCATCTGACCTGACTGGGTGCCGAGTCAGATCAGGACAGAATGAGGTCAAGAGCTTGAAAATGTACATGCTTCAATGAGCAAGTGATCATTTAAAAACATTTTTCTAAACCAAAACTGCAAATATGTGGAATTACTGGAGAAAAAATCAGTGTTGACTGGTTGCTTAGAGCATGCCACTCCCTATCTGGTTACAGGACAAAGTCATGTTCTGAAGATTTGGGATGATTTTGCAAAACTCACTGAAAGGGAATTACAGCACTGGAGCCCAATCCTGCAAAATGCTAAACTCCGGAGTGCAGATTTCAGAACCAAAGGTAACTTTTTGAAGCTGAGGGACACACAGAGTAGGCAGTGTAAATGCTGGCCTAGCTGGGAGCTCTTAGCTTGCTCTAAAGATGGTGTGAGTCACCACCACTCCACTACACTCAGTGACACCCCTATGGCAGTTCACACTAGCTGAAGAGGTAGTTCTCTGTGTCTAGTGCATTAGGAACCCTGCCCTGGAGAGTGGAGGCATACTGCCTGCTCTGTTCATTGCAGTCACTGTAGCTAGACAATATCCCACTTCATTTTCCTTCTTGACACCTGTCTGTGAAGAGTGAAATGCACAGTTGCATAGCTGAATGCCTTACAAGTTAACGTTAACATACTTTTTCTCACAGTTCCTTTGTGTAGCAAGGCACAACCCCATTGTTCTGTGGGACAGCTGAGATCCAGAAGACCGGATGACTCTCCAGGCCTCACTGGGAACTAAGCATAGGGCTAGAGGGAGCACAGGGTCATCCAGGCAAACTTCACATGTGCCAGCCTCCTGGCTCTCCTTTGAGGAGTTGGAGGCTCCACCATTCAGCAGTGGAGGGCTCACCTTTTGCTGCTAGGGCTGAGCAGACTCTCTGCTCTGTGCAGCCAAGTCCTCCCAGCCAGTCTGCCACAGTGATAGGACATGCTGAGCATGAGGCACTGGGGCAGTGGCTGAGAGCTGATTTCAGTTGTTTTATAGTGTATAAAACATCCAGTCCTCCGCTGTTTCTGTTTGTAGAAGGCAGGAGAGTTTCTTGTCTAGTGTTTGACACAGAGCAGTGTAGAAGCTATTTCTTGGCTGGGACACAGAGCCTGGAAAAGGCTTTTCAGCTTGTGAGACAGGGCGCTGTCATGGAGGGAGAAGCCCTGGGCTCCATCCTCACGCTGTGCTTTGGAAGCTTCACTTAGCTTGCTGACATTTCTCTTGCATTCGGTAGCAAGCCTGCCTTTATACAGTTACCAAAGAGAGCACACTGCACTCCTGCTAGGCTCCCACTGCCCTGTCCAAGTGGGACAAGTTAGTGCTTTTCTAGCCAACAGAGCAGACAGCAGTAATTCAGGGGTGACGGGGACAGACTGACCCTGGCAAAAATTAAACAGTGAAGAGACACTGCATTTTCCCTATATAAAGCTTATGAACTCAGGTGGGAGGGTACTGTGGTGGGCTCCTGCCAGGAGTTCCTTTACACGACATACTGTTCAGGCAATGCAAGCTGCATCCTCCCAGACTGAATGAATAGAGCGGGCCAGCCAACTGTTGGCTGCCAGTCAGCTTGGGAAGAAGAAGCCTCACGGGAAAGGCACAATCTTAAACTTGGCACTTTAGGTGTCAGTCTGTGGGAGGATAAACAGAGCTGTATTAATTTACCTCCTCCTTGTCTTCTGATGGGGCACAGAGCCACAGCAGATAACATGTCCTGCTACAGCTCCAGGGATATGAATGCAGGCCTCACTCCAGACCCAGGCCCCAGTCCATCAAAGGGCACCCAGTCATTCAGGCTGGGGAAGTCAAATATAGTTGGACTTCATGATAGCCACTTCCTTCTTTTGTGGGACATTGGCTACAAAACCTGGGTACCTAGCTCAAAGACCTGTTAATCTTGTGTAGGCTTTTCATTATTCTGATACTTGAAATGTGGCTGATGTGGTAGGAATGTGGTTGCTTTGCTGTAGCTAATGCTGGTTGAGTTAGTTGGGAATGTTTGCATTCAATGTTCTTTCACTGAAAGAAAAAAAAAATACAGATTTGTTGAAAGCAAATCTTGTTGCAGACAGAGGACAGTTTGAGGAATTTCTTGATTCAAACAAAAGTAGGGACATGGTTTTGATATAATCAGATTGGGCTTTTGGTATTTTCTAAATTTAAAAAAAAGTCTTTTTCTAATTTAAAACAGCTTTATATTTTTAACCTTCCTGTAGTAAAGCTTTTATTTTATTTTATTTTATTTTTAAATGAAAACGGGTAGAAATGGAATCTAAATGTCTCAAAACTCTCTATGCAGAACATTTACACTGGCTCAAGCAGATTTTTTTTTTCCCCCCCCTCAAATTTTTACTAGATGAAAATAGTTTGAGAATTTGACATTTTTCCCCTAATATGGAACAGGCAACAAAATCTGAAATCTCAAAATTTAATACAGGACAGAGAGACCATTTCCCTCCCAACTCTACTTGGTGCTTCTGTGACAAAGAAATGTTCATCCTGATAGCGTCTTGACAGCACCTGGAAAAGTTAGCAAGAAACAGTACAGTGAAGTTGCAGGGTTTTTTCTTCACGGATCCCCAGAGAGTTTTGCATGCAACTGAAACCACTGCAACCAAGTTCCTTTGAACCACACCTTTTCTTTTTCATGTTCTGCATATCTGCTGCTGCAAAAAAGGAGTAGGTGTTCTGTACATGCCCAGGCTGACACATCACAGGCACCTCCACATTGTAGTCTCTCTTGGGCTCTGAGCTTTCATTGTTCCCATTAACTGTAGTGTAAAATAATAGGCATGGTTCTTAAAGGCAATGACTTGTCTCTACATGCAGGAAAATGCAGGGATCCAAAACAAAGAGCTCAAAAGAGGAAAGAAGAAATGGTAGGAATAGTGCAATGGTTGCTGAAGGGAACATAGAGAGCATGCAGCTGGACACAGGAGCCGTAACGTTTGGAATATATGTTCAGAGGTTTACGAGAGACTCAGCTGCACTGCAGAGGAAATTCCATGCTTTGTGCAAGCTTGTCAGTGATGATGGCTTAGATTAGCTAGACTGATGGCTGCTTTCCTAACAATACAACTTGCTCGCTTCTGACCAATGTTTTTTTATATGGGCTCACCTACCCTGTGCCTTATCCTGTCAAGTTTTGTGCTTAGTGGTGGGTTCTGGACATGTCAGCTTTCCAGGCTTGCCAAAAGCCATCTGTTATGGCGGGGTCCTCCAGGAGGGCCGTGATCTCCTTAAGGCCCCCTCTCCCTGCCTAGTTGGCCCAAGGGCACCCTCTGTTCCTTGCCCGCCATGTCTTTGATGGTTTAAATCAGTTGGGAGGCTGCCTTACGCCCTCTCAGACATGTCTTTATGTTGGCTCAGACCCCGTGGTTTCCCGGACTCCTTGTGGGTCTCATCCTGCAAATGGGTGCTTTGGGGCACCCTAGCCTTATGGGCTATGTATGCATGGCTCCAACCACCCCTTATACCACGCCCCAAGCCTCGCAGTTGGAATGGACCTTGGTCTGTCTCTACCTGCGCTCACGCCCGTTTCTTGGGCCTCTTCTGTACTGCCGCCCTTTTCTCAGGCCTTCTCAATATCACCGCCCCCTCCTGAGGCTCTGCACCGTCACCCACTCTCAGGGCCTTCTCCAAGTGCTGCCCTCTCTCTGGGGCTCGCCACACCCACGCTGGGCTTCTCAATAAAGCACTCCCCTCTCTGGGGCTCGCCATGCCCAACCTGGGCTTTCCAATAATGTTGCCCCCTTTCTGGGACTCTCCATGCCCATGCTTGGGCTTCTCAAATGTGCTGCCCCCTATCTGGGGCTTGCTGTGCCCACACTCGGGCTTCTCAATAGGGAAGCCTCTCTAGAGCTCACCACACCTATGCTAGGGCTTCTCAAAAGTGCCTCTCTCTAGGGCTGGGGTCTATACACCCTGTATGCTGCACCCTTCCGGGTACTGGGGTCCTCACACTCCACTGTGAGGCCCCTTTGAGGATACTGCACCCTCACTGGCGCTGGGGTCCCCACGCCGCTGTGGGTCCACCTGAGGCCTCCTCCAACCCCTATAGCCTCACCCAAACCACCGGTGTAACATCAACACAAACTCAAGCCTCTTGGCTACAACTGAAACATAAGCCACCTGGCTATAACTTAACATCATTGCTCAAGCCTCCAGAGCTGTCATGAGCTGTACTTGCAATCAGGCTTTTTCCCACATCCTGACTGAAGGAGCTCCTGTCTCTCTGGCTGCTGGCAGGGAACTGCCCTGGCCTCAGCTCCTGGGCTTTATAAGAGCCAGGCCTTGCCCCTTACAGGCAGCTGACCGCTGGCAGGGGTGGGTCATTTGCTCCCTCCAGTTGCCCTGGCAACCCACAGGTGGGCTCCTATTCCCTGCTAGGGCTCTTTTCCCCGGCAGTTTCCCCTCTCTAGGAGCAGGGCACCTCAGTGCTCTGTGACACCATCAAAGTACAAATCTGGAGTTGTGATGGTCTGCTTGAGCCTAGCAGCCCATGGATAGCATAAGGCATTCTAGGTTTTGTAGTCACGCCAACCCAGAAAGGAGTGATGTCGCCACTTTCCTTTAGACTCCCAAGCTGAATGACCCATTTAGAGCAAAGTCGTTTGGAGGTAGCCTTCAACATGAGCCCAGAGTGAGCCTCACACTCATGCCTCTGGAGTTGTTGAGAGATATCTAAGCCACTTGTGTTATACTCCTCCAGTACCCCATTAATGGCGTTCCCTATGATCTGAGAGACTCCAAGCATTAATAGGCATTCCTTTATCAAGTCTCGTGATGCCCTGTTAGACAGACCCACTGCACACATGGAGAAAGTGAGGCCACAGGAAGGTAAATAATAGTTCAAACTTACGAAGTCTATCCAGAAGTAGAATCCACGAGTCCCAACCCCACTTCTACGCTCTAACTGCTAGGAAATACTCTTCATCACAGGGCTACCGATTCTGGAAAGGGCAGTGCTGAGTCAGATTCAGATGATGTGACACTGGCATTAATCTGCCATAACACCACTGAAATCAATGGAGTTACTTCAATGAGATGAGCTCAAAATGTGGCTCACTACTTCTGATGTCCCCCATGAAGGCAGAGTGAAAACACTCTCACTGTTCTACTTAGCTCAGCTATTTCAGAGGACTGTGTTTTTTCCTGTGACATATAATGTAACTGTTATTCAGTTTCTTTCTCTCTCATTTGCAAAGGCCTGAGAGCCCCAAACACTGGAACTGTATGCATCATTACACTGCCTACTATGGAAGCAAACAAGAGCTCTAAAACCCTGTTGCATTCCAAATACTCGTATGGCAAAAAGGGCTATCTGCTGCCATTACTCATCTCCTTTTTATAGGTGGTTTTATTGCCCAGAGGTTCAGGATTGCCAATAGTTCAGTAGTCACTGCTACCTTTTCAGCCAAGAATACAGTCAAATTGCTGCTAATAATGGTCTGGTAGCAATAGTGTTCAGGAGCCAATGACACAAACTGTGGGCAGTGCCTTGCATGCCAGGCAGCATTCAAGTACTGTGTGACTCATGGGAGGTTTTCTGCATATAGCTGTGGCACTTAACACACTTCAGACTGCTGAGAGCGCTAAACACTGGAAACCTCAAATTCCCTTCCTAAGTCAGGGAACTGTTGCTTCTGCTTCTTGCTCAGATGCCAAACCAGCCTCACTGGCCCTGAGCCACCAGAAGTGAGAGACATCTCCTAGCACTACTTTAACCCCAGTGCTGACATGGTGGGACTGCTGGTGCAAGGCTGCCAGGGCTTTGGACCTATCTCAGCTAGACTTGACCAAGCGCTGAAAGCATCAGCGCCCAGCCTGGGTTTGGACTTTGCTACATAAGTGCTCCAGTACGAGTGGGAAATTCCCTAATGCCCCTCTTTGCAGACACAGCCTGGGCTGGTGACAGTGGTACTCGCCCATTGTTAGAGGGTCTAAGTAAGATCAGATGACAGAAATAAGCAATCAGTTACATTACTTTGTCCATTCTGACCTCTCCTTGCCAATTACCATGGGAGACAGCCCAGCAGAATAAATGAGGATGCATTGTCCAATCTAATTTTAAGTACTCTTAGTGGAGCTTCCCACACCCACTCCTTTCCCACAGCCCCGTGGATCTGAATGTCAGAACTTTTCTGCCACCATATTCCACATACATTTTCCTTTGCTTGTTTAATCTCCTTACCTAAACTAGTCCTTGGCATTCTCAGCTTTCCCGTAAGTGTTGACAGTTACCTCACTGTCCTTCGGGCATGCCTGGGGATGGTCAGTCAGCTTAGTTTTCTTCTGCTAAGTACAGTGCATTAACCTACTGCTGTGGTTCTGTGGTAGAATCCTTGTCTGTCATGTAGGAGACCCAGGTCTGATTCCTGGATGTGCATGTACTACACCCACTGAGGCACCAGTCTGGCTTTTTGGAGTCTGTCTAAAGGTGGGTGGAAGGTCTGGGCAGCCTCCACCCCCTCCATACTCCTGCACTGAAGGTCTTGGTGACCTCTCACACATCCAACACAATCCAGAAGGATTGAGGGTTGCCTGCTACAGTAAATTGTGTTGATTTGAAGTGTAGCCATACTGCATATATTAGACAAATGTATCAGGACCTGCCTCGGAGGAGGGGTGGGCTAGCAGAGCTCTGGAGACCTCTTCCAGTCATATACTTCTGTCAGTCTAAATTTACTCAATAAGAGCCCTTTGGCTTTTGTTTGGGGGCCACCTGATCACCCATGCCCACTGTCTGTCTTACCCTCTGTCTATCCTGTGATATGTGCTGAACACTGGTTTGCCCTGAGATCCTTGTCTGTTGTGTTATTACCTCACATCTATCCGGGGGAGGAGGATAGAAAAATAGTGTGCACTACCTTACTGATGTTTCAGCTGGGCTGGCTGGAGTGAATTCAAGCAACGCGTTCATCACGCTTCCGAGGTATGAATGGGACGTGAGGCAGGATGGGGGAGAGGTCCATGCGACACAATTAGGACTTCCCAAGGGAGAGATGGACAGCAGTGACACAGGCATCCAAGTCATTGTATTACCTGTGCCCATATCTGTTTCTTTTCAAGATTACCCAGGCATCCCACTTGCTTTTCTGCAGGCCATGTCAGACACTGAGACCCTTGACCAGTGAAGATTAGATATGCACTTTCACAACAGGCTGGAGAGACCTGTCTCATGGAAGCAGCTCCTGCTTTTGACCAGGATCCTGATGACCTTGGTTGAGCAACTCCTGCTAAGTGATTGTCTGCAAAGATTCCCCCAGGACAGCTCCATTGCTCAGCCTTGAGGTCCATCTGCTTAACTCAAAGCTGTGATTCACTAAAAGGAGGTGTCCACACACCTCATGGCAGGGGGTCCTCTGTGCAGCAATAGAGCAGGGGTCAGAAACTTTTTATAAGCAGCAGCCTGAAATGCTGCAGCTTGGTCCAAGGGTGACTGGTGCTTCTGACCTAGGTGGTGCCACTTTTCTCTGCCAACACTACTGTCACTGCCAAATCAGTGCAGAATTCCCTGGGGCTTCATGGGCCAGGAAAAATTGCATGGGAGGCTGAATCCAGCCCATGAGCCTCAAGTTGTTTATCCTAGAAAGCTGCTTCTTTCCTAAAGAAAGTTTGAAATTTTAACATTTCTCCCCATAAAACTTTCTGTGAGAAGTGTTTGGCAATCGATCCAGAATCCCTCCTTATTTCTTGTCACCCAGGAAAATATAGGAAAAAGGGGCTAAAATCCTCTGAAATCCTAAGCCTGTAAATATTACTATTTTTGCAAAAGGCAACATTTGCAGTGCAAAATTTTAGTTTTGTTTTAAAACCAGAAACAAGTGAAAATTCTCCATGATTTTTGTTTATTTCATTATATTATTTTCCATAAAGAAACAACAACTTGACAAAAATATGCAATCAGTTCTGCCCCTGATGCAATAAACTAAGCCTTATCCATTCCTAATGGACTGCAGCTGGCTGAGTGTGCGAGCTTCTTTCAGCTCTACATGTCACTGCTCCCATACTGCTTTGCTGCGGAACCAGCTGATTACATAACTGCTGACTTACTTACAGTGCAGAAATCACAGCATTCATAATCACATGCAGGAAATTCCACGGAGATTTCTTATCCCTGTAAGTGTCCTTTAGACTCTTCCATTAATAACACTTACCTGCTAAAAGTGGCCCTAACAGTACAGGATTATAGAATCAAGGGTTGGAAGGGATCTCAAAGGTTATCTGGCCCAAGCCCCTGCATGAATGCAAGGGTGCAATTCTTAAATCATCCCAGATCATTGCTTCTCGAACCTCCCCTTGAAAACCTCCAACGAAAGAGATTCCACATCTTGCATCTCAGACTGATCTTTAAACAGATTCAGACTCTGGGGGGTGCTTCCCTGAAGAATAGTCCAGCATTGACAGCTACTTATTACTAGGAGCTACCATGTACCAGGACAATGCTAAACAAAAAAACACTACTAACTTATTTCCCAGTTATTGTAAGTTTTGCACTCCCCTGCTTTGTCCAAACATCTGATGAGGTCCTGCGTTAGCATAGCTATGACTTTACCGCTCTGTGCAACTTATGTATGTTCCACAAACCTCTGATGAATGCCCAAGATAGTGTTGCAATACTGCAAAACCGGGATGTTCCCAGCAAATCAGGATAATTCATTGTTCTTGAAACTGATATAGTTTTCGAATCAAGTAATTGCATTAGCTATTTCAGTTAGTTCTACAGAATGAATGATCCAGCCTAGAACCAGGCCTCACTCTTATCGCATTGCCATTCTGCAATGAAAAGACCATTTTGTCTTGCTAAAAATGCAACAGACAAGTTTCTGGGAAGCAGCATTTATGAAAAGGCCAGTTCTGAGGTTCATAAGCCATTTCCTAGTCAAGTCAGTGGTAGCTTGGCTTGAGAGAAGGCTGAGTGAAAAACAGTTAAAGAGGTCAGGATTTGGCCCTAGATGAATGGCTGGTAACAAGTTTTAATGATGCCCAAAATGATACACACACATCTCCATAGCAACTTTCAAAGAGAGGTGTCTGTTGATTGGTCTTTAGGAAAACAGGACTGCATTCAAGTTGCTGAGAGCAGAGTCACTAGCAGCAGGGGTGCAGCAGGCGGTGGTAAGAGATAGAAGTAGCCGAAACAGAATTGCGTTGAGATGCAGTCCTGAGCTGAGCACAGAGGGCCGATAGCTTAGTTCCTGCTGCTGGTGCCATCCTGTGAGCAAAGTTAGTCCTTTGTACTTTCTTAACCCCATTGCACAGGAAAAACAGAAGAGAGATGTATAGATTTGTATTCATTTGGGTTGGTGAAGGTGTTTTGAAAGCTTGCCAGCATAGAAATGGTCAGGAAGTTAAGGCTTTGCTGAATATTCGCACACAATAGTTCTCTTGATGGCCTATGACTGGGCTTCAGAGCATGAAATACTGCTAAAGCAAGTCATGGTCATGGATGAAAGAATTTATGAACACGTCAGACTATGTGGAAGAGAGGTGACAAGAGTTTGTGTTGAAAAGCTTGAGATATTCCACTCAAGCTGTTTTATGCACCTCTTATAGCTGGTCGGACAGTGAAAAACACGAGTTGGCAATTGAGAGAAAAAAGATCACAATTTAGTGAAGATGTATGTAGTGAACAATTCCCCCAGCTCTGGCAGTCCCACATGAGATGAATACTGAATGGAGGTGATGCATAGAAAAGTAAAGGTGTTTTATGAAGGGGACGAAATTTTGCAGATTATTGACACTGACATTGTTGGGGAGGACGTCATGGCAGTTTCTGACTGGCTCGCATGCTTGAAGTAGTTCCAAGGCTGCAGGGTAGATCTCTGCTGATGGTGCTAACACGGTTCTATTACCAAGAGAGCTGTGTGCTTCGCACACCTTAATGTGTTTCACCTCACAATCAGCCTGTGTGGCAGGACATAGCAGAGCAGGGCTGAGGTGTTAGCCTCAGTTTGAAGATGGAGAATTGACGTACAAAGGCTCAGGCCCAGATCTGCAGAAGGACAGAGGCTGGGGGACACTTGGCAGCTCCAAGCCTTGCTTTTAGGTGCCTGGTTCTAGGAGTGGAATTCACAAACCTAAGTCAGGTGCTTCAGTTCCTTACATGGTGAATGGGGAGAGTTAGGGGCCTAGTCAGGGCT